GTTTTAATTTAATATTGATTTAGAAATTGTTACATGATTATGAACCCTCCATCTCTTATTTTATGTATTGTTATGAAACGATTGCAATATATATATATATATATATATATTTGCAAGCTAGTTTCAAAAAATATGTTGATATATGTTAGAATATCTAATTGTTATTGAGATTTTTGCTCTCACATGTTACCTTTTACCAATTTTTAGGTGAGTAGTTAGGTGAAGCTACGAAAAGGGTGTCAAAAAAGTGAGCTTGGGCTCTTTTCTCTTGACTTGACACGTGTTTTCTTTTTATTTTGTTATTATAGTTGCTATGACCTAGGAACTTAATTATATAACTTTATTTTGGATAATTATTATAAGTTATTTGACTAAAATTATTCAATCCTTTTGTTTGAATTGGATGACTTTTAAGCATGCCGATCTAGACTGTGTTTTCTATTGGGCTGAGCCCATTTATTTTGAATTGTACATATTAATGGTATTATACAGGAAAAACTGTGTTTGACTAAATTGATAATATCTATAAATTGTGGTTGAACCTTGGGCTTGTTGCAAACTATTTATTGAGCTTCATCTACTCTAAGCATGGTGGTTATTTTTTTGAAAATCCTATTGAATTTTTATTTGGGCAGTTTTTTTTGAAAAAATATTTATTTATTAAAAGGAGAGAAAGGTTTTTGTTTTTATCAAAATAAAAATATTGTGAAAAATTGTGACTAAAAAAATCAGGTCCATTACAAGAAGGACCTTATAGTTCACTAGCGTAAAAGGCTGACATGCATGATACCATTTAGGGGGAAAATGTTTAATGATACTTAAAAGTTTCACAAGAGTCATTGTAAACATTTGAGACAGATAATGAAAGTTAGGATATCCAAATTGTTTCGGCCATAAGTCCATAACTCCAATTAGTGACCGAAAAGGAAAGTTTTAGTACCACTAATACCACTTTTAACCTAAATAGTGAAGTTCATCAAACTCTCTAGCATTGCCAATATGAGTGGCAAAAAAATTAGTGTGCACCTTTCTCTCTAGCCAGTTGACTTATAGAAAGCAAATTACACTTCAAATTAGGAACATGGAAAACAAAATGGATTGTAAGGGTGCAGAGATTTTAATGCTCCCAATGCCAGCAACTATGGAATCGGATGCATTAGTAATTTTCACAGTAAGTTTTCCTTACAAGGTGTATAAGAGGTAAAAAAAGTAATATCATCAATCATATGATTTGATGCACTAGAGTCAACAATTCAACAACTTCTGGAACTCATATCTTTAGTGGTGGCCAAAGCTTTGGACCGAACAACAGTGGCAACATGTTTTTGAGGTTGATGATTGTTTTGAAGTGCTTTTAGCATGTTTAGAATTTTGTTGAGTTGATCATCCTTTAATAAAAAATTGGCAGGACCCAGTTCCTCGCTTTTGGAGGCTTTAACTACATAACCACGGCCTTTTCCTTTCTTTGGTTTCTAGTCCGGTGGCTTGCCATGAATATCCTAGCACCTATTCTTAGTATGACTAGTTTTCTTGCAATGCTCACAAACTGGCCTCCCCTTATTGTTTTTTTGATCTTTAAACTAAACAGCAAGAGTAGGAGATTACGTGACATTAGTTCGAGGTACATAGTCTTCTTTTAGCATTACCTTGCGCCTCTAATCCTCTCTTTGCATTATGACGAAGGCTTCTCTTACAGATGGTAGAGGATCCATATTTAGAATCCTATTGAGAGCATCATTTGTTGTAGTAATTGTGTGTGTGTTAAAAGAAGTTTTACATTGTCTAAATGGAGAGAGTTCTTGGTATATAAATATTAAAGAATGAAATGGGCTTAAAAAAAAAGTGAGTTCATATACACAAAATAAACTAACTCAGAGCAATTACAGTTGAAAATAATCAATTCATCTTCTTGTATGTGTTCTAGATTAATGATGTTTCATGTGTGTGTAAACGAGGCTTTAATCTCATAATTCTGAGTCCAACATTTATGTTTTTGCTTTCGGCCTATATATAGAATAGAGTACCTGCCTCTTGAGCTTTGTTTCCTTACATTTGTAAAACGTGCTTGTTTAATTTTGAAAAAATGTCGGTCCGCTGAGTGTGTTAACATAATTCTTAAGGATAATGTCGTCTGGAAGCAGCTCTCAGTTTCCTAGCTGCCGCCATCATCATCTAGGCCGGCATGTTATCCCACGAGAAAATCGAAAAGACGTTCTCTTTCTACCATTTTTGGGTATTTTGCAGCATCTTCAGAACACCGCCAGTCTTCCTCAATAATCAAATCCTATTCTCGCCAGAGGGCCACTTTCTCTAAATAGTATTCATTGAGAGGCCGGGATCCCTGCACCTGTGACCATATTTTAGATTTAATCTCAAATACTTGATATGCGTTTTCACCATCAGAGTAGGCTTCTCTAACTGCCTCCTATATTTCTCGTGCGGTCGGAAGGAACATGAAACTTTTTCTGATTGTGGGTAGCATGGCATTGATGATCCACGAAGAAACCAGAGAATTTTCGGACTGCCGAACTTTTAGTGCCTTCACATCTTTTGAGTCTGGAGTCTAGCATCACCTGAAACGAATCCAAGTTCACCTCTGTCATGAAGTGTGAGCTTCATTGATTGAGCCCACTCCCTGTAATTTTCGGTGGTGAGCCTCTCAGACTCGATAACCACCTTCATAGCTTGCTGCTGCAGCCCCATTCGCCCCACTTGAAGCCGTTCCCTCAGGTGCAGACATCGCAGGACTGTTGCTCTGTTCTGGTTGATGGGTGGAGTCGACTTCAAGCGTTGAAGAATCGAACGATCAACCGTTGCTCTGTTCTGGTCGATAGGAATGATTCTTCTTCGATATGCTATGCCACTCAAGTTGGAATTATATAAAGTAAATACAATCTGCCCAATTAATTCTATGGGGCCGAAAAATCAGGGGACTGAAATGAAAGACTGATCCTCACAATAATCACATAAATACAAATATATACAAAATAATTCTAGGATTTCCACAGATCCATTATAGTTTGTTTAAACTATAAATCTCTTCTAATGGTTCCAATGAACGCTTAGCAGGTGTAGATGCCACAACACTAATGGAAGTCATTAGTCACAGGCTTTGTTAATGCCTGCATGGTTTTCCATTGCATTTCTTGTACAGTTTTATAATCCGAATCGTGGTAATGATTCTAGTAACTGGTAACTGTGTGCAGTCTAATCCTTCAAGTACTTCACTCACTGGACCTATTATTTTTCCAGAATGATCCCCTAGTTGCATCTTATAGAATGGCAAACAAGTACTCCTCTCTAGTACTATAATCATAATATTTCTCCTACAAAACCCTGAATCACTGGCATACTTGATTTCATCCAATATCCGTGATGTTTCAACAACATTACTAGCAAAGACAACCATTCTTATTCCTTATAGAGAGAGGTCAAATATTTTAGCCTGTGCCATGGTTGGGAGGTTGGCTTAGATAGGAATGTAATCAGCCCATAAATTTTTGTGCAATCCTCAAGTAACTTTTTCTCCACACTTTTTTAGAATTGTCTTCTATGATCTGAAGTCCTCAAAATCCTCAAAACTCATGGAGGAGTTTGGCATCATGTCCTTATTTTCCACCCAATTTGATGTTCCTCCTATGTCCCTTGTGCTGCAAATTCCTTCATGTTCAAAAATTGGGTCTCCTCATTGCTGCCGATTTTCAAAGCCAATCTTTTATTCTAATCGATGGCCTCATTGCAGCTTCATGATCATAACCTTTTTGGTATTCTGAACACATTTTCATTGTACTGAGCCTCCTGTGTGTCGTTCCTAAACTCACGATATCTTCTTTGTTAAGACAAAGCCCAAAAGTAACATGTTCAGATCCAGCCTACTCAAGACCTCAGAGCCCAATACAATATCACTTGATCATTAGCTCAAGGTCAGTATTTTGGATCAGCCCCTTAGTGTACACATGTTTAGGGTTCTGTCACGCTTGACATCGTTTTATTCCTTGATTCTTTACACGTGTCTTCAGATTATGTATTCTAGGGTTGTGTACCCTTACTATTTAAGGCTAATAATGCATTGGGCCACCATTTATCATTTTCTATCTCTAGAAAGTTTATCTTTCTTCTGTAAATGACATTTGAATCTACTTATTTATCTTTTAAATTGGCTTGGTGTAGTTAAAGACTCCTTCATTTTCTTTAAATACTTTCTAAAGAATTTTTGCATGATTATGCTCTGCAGAATTGATCTTCAAGTCAACTTTCAAGTCCTGGCTGCATCTCATTCTCTTATAAATTGCTTTAATTCTTCACTTCACATTGATCACACAATCTATCTTCACTACATCAAAGTTTCTCCCTTTAAGCACCTAGATTTTCAGAATTGTTCCTGAACTATTCTTTATGATTGCCTGGCTCTCTGGGCTCAAAAGCAGGCACCATGTAAGGTTTTACACAGGCACCATTGTTAACAGCACCAGCATCTGATTGATACTCATCCAATCAGACTGAGGTCTTGTTTATGAAATCCAATGGGAATCTTGAACTACGTGGAATGGTCAATTCACAAAAGAGGGAGCACATGCAAGGCATGAGAAATTACTTCTTCTAATTAAGGCCCCCTTCCTGATTATATATATATATATTCACTAATTTACATTGCTACATGGAATAAGTGAAATCCAAATCTTGCAAGTGCTGAAAACTCTCTAATCTTCTCCACCATTCCAAATTACTAAACTTAAATCAACAAGGGGATGATTAGAAGCCAAACATAGAACGCAAAATAGTTCATAGAAGGCCGAAGTATCTCAAAATCTGGACAAAAAGCAAAAAGGAGTTACACTTACAGGCTACAGCCCTTGCTGGCATGCCATTAGAAACATGAATGTTTAAAGATCAAAGGTGAGCCTTGCTTTCTTCTCGAAATCTCCGTTTGATCTCAGCATCTATCACATGAATTTTCATGTTTCTCTTTATAATGCTTGTGTTTTTTCCATCTTCTCCAACCCTTACCCCCTCCCTTCTCTTCCTTAATGACCTATAAGATGAATGGATGGGCAGACATGTTGGCCAGAGATAACTTGTCTCTCTTCTTACCAGCATCACAATAAACAATGCTGGAACTTGTTCATTTTCAGCAAGTTACATGCTTTTATGGGTTATATTTTTTTATTTCTCTATCATTATACTGTAATGCCTATTTGCATCCTATTCTAGCGAATCATTTAGTGCCAGATTCCTGTTTAGGACATCGCCATCCATATATGACTTAATCTCTGAAGAAGAGATTCTTATTTTTCTTAAACCATAGTTGTTGGCACTGCTATGCATTCATGTTCGTTGACTACAGGTTATTTAATGATAGAAACAACCCCTCCCACAGACAAAAGATCCACATATGCTCACTCCAATTGCATGCCTTGTTGGAACACACAGTTTTAGTTGAGATAGAGGGGACATTGGCAATGAATGTGAATCTGAAGCACATGGATTCTTGTGATTCCCAAACAAAAAACTGATGAATGAGCTGGTAAGTTTGCTGTGCAGGAAGCACTGAGCAAACAATGCAATAGAAGCACAAACAATCATGTTAACGTGTTATCATTTCATACCCACATGTGGAAAGAAAAATAATCTTCTTATCTCCCTCTATTCTTTAACTATATAAGAAGAAAATGTCCAGCACTGAAAATCACAAGTTTCGAAGAAACTGCATTTCTTATCTCCAAGCATTCTATTTCCTAAGAAAAGAAAATGGCAGCCTTTGAATCAAACCCAAAGAGCTCTCTGCATACACGTTCTAATAGCTTTCCCACCGCACTTCACCCCTTTGTATCACAATTTGAGGAGCATCTGAACAGATTAAGGTCTTCTGATTCTGCCTCTTCTTCATTTTCTTTAAGCCACAAACTTAGTGGTTTGCAGGACTTACAGGACTGCACTGATAGGTTGCTCCAATTGTCAACCACCCAACAAGTCTTGGCACAAGATTGCGGCCAAATATGGGTTGATGAACTACTAGATGGATCTCTAAGGCTCTTGGATATCTGCAGTACTGCTAAAGATTGTCTTCTGCAATCAAAGGAGTCCGTGTATGAAGTTCAGTCAGCCGTTAGAAGAAGAGGAGCTGAAGCTGCATTCACGGTTGGGGCTGGAAATTATTTGGCTTCCGGGAAGAATGTGAAGAAAACAATTCGAAAGGCCTTGGGAAACATCAAAGGAATAAGAAATGAGCTCATAGTTTCTTCTGCAACCAAAGAAAATGAAATGCTTAGCATGTTAAAAGAAGCAGAAGCAGTCACTATGAGCAAACTAGAATCTTTGTTGTACTTCATCTCTGATCCAAAGGGACAATCAAAACAAAGCAGATGGTCAGCAATCTCCAAGTTGATGCAACCAAAAAGAGTAGCTTGTGATTCTCAAGAATTAAGCACAAATGAGTTTGAGAAGGTAGATGCTGCTTTGAAGTCTCTCATCAGTCACAAGCGTGCATCCATTGACAATTTTCAAAGCGATTTGGAAAATTTGGAGATGTGCATTCAAGATCTAGAAATGGGAGTTGAGTGCCTTTCAAGGAAAATTATCAGAACCAGAGTTTCCCTTCTCAACATCTTCAACCACTAGTTACACAAAATATTTAGGATAACCTTGGACACTCAAATTCAATTTTCCCCCGTTGAGTGTCTCATAACTGTACATGAATGTGATTAATAATACTGTTCTTTTACTGGGTATATGTTATCTTGGCGTCACGCTGTTGCTATGCGATCATCTTTCTTCTTCCCAACCTTGCAAATCTCAATTTTCCATTTTTGTTTCCCTGTTAATGAAAAATACAATAATCTTGGGATTTATTAGTTAGAAAGGAGAATAACCGCTTGTTAGTTTTCTTGGTCAACCTGTAAATATGATATCTAGTTTTACGTTATAAGCATGAATACATTTCTTCCAGAGACACATGGAATCCAATTTATTAATTCAATTCAAATCAAATGAAATCAAAGCATCCACATAAACCTTTATTGCGAACACATGCGCGAGTAATTGGTTCATACATTATATGCTAGAATTGCATTAAACAATGTGCAGTTTGTTTCCATTTTTTATTTATAAGTCAATAGGTAACTAACTAGTAGTTTATATGTAATAATGGAGAGACTTCAGAGTTTTGTAAGCACACCTAACAATAATGCTAAAGATTATTTGGCAACATGTGGAGCAGATCATCATATGAAGGTATGAATTTTCAATCTGCAGGGGGCCATTTTATTTGTACATTAAATAGTGAAAGACATGAGATGTCACTTCATAGTGTAATATAAACAGAATACATATAAGATTATTGCAGGTGTGAAGGGAAAAAAATGAAATTCTGAACTGTATTGTTCCTGTTTAGGAGGCAGCATTAATATTTCTGACAATATTTGTTGATCTGGATCAAGATTATTGATCTTTCTTAGAACCTCATTGCTAAAAGCACTCAATCATGCCTCTCTCTCTCTCTCTGCCACTGTTTCCTTTTTTTTTTTTCCATTTCTTTTTTAGATAAAAAAATTAAATTAAAATGTAAAACAGAAAATTTTTTACTTTTTAAACTACTTGAATATTGAAATTTTCACAAGGTATATTGGTCCTGGTAATTTTTTTATTTATCCTGTATTCTTTTTTCATTTATTTTCTTTGTACTGTACTGGATTTGGGTTAGGTAAAATAAGTCTAAGGCATGTATATAAATTTTTTTTCCCCATATCAAACCTTGATAGAGTCGCTTACATACCTTTTCCTCTCTCTTAAAAAAACATTTTTCAAATTTTTAACTTTTTTTAAATAAAATTTTGGTTATAACTATTTAAATTTATTTTTCAAGAAATTTTTTTGAAAAATTAAGCATTTATTTCCTATTTATCTTTCGATCTACAAATCAGGTGTTCGACACATTCCTTTTTTATAGTTGAAATATAAAAAGTGATTGTCACTTATTGAGGTGGAGATTGTAAAATTGTGTTGTTTTCAATACTGTGACTTTAGAGATTCATAATTCATGAAACATGGTTTGGGAATTAATGAATTTAGTTTTGTGGGCATCATAAAATTTGAGATATTTTTTTTAAAAATTCTATTTATTTGAACTTCGGAAAAACGGTACGTCAGTTTTAAAGTAAAATCTTGTAGAACAGGGAGTCAGTTTTGAAACAAATAACATCAAATTGACGAACTTAACGACATAGCACAAAAGTAAATGTTCAGAAAGAGAGGTAATCAATAACAAATATTCAGATAACAAAACTACAAGAGTTTTGAGGCCTAAGGCAAAATTATTAGTAAAACCTAGCATGTGTGATTATCCCTTCAAAAGAAAAATGCACTCATCAGTTTTTACAAAATTATATATTAAAATTTTATAATATAGTGATTCTAATAAAATACTAAATTAATTTAATAGTTAAATAAAAATTATTGTTGACAAAGTACTCCTACCCCATCTTATATATTGGGATAGAATATTAACAATGATAGGGGTGGCAATACATTTTTAGCAAAAAAAAAAAAGATATAATTAAGACTAATAATATCAATGATTAACATGAAAAACTAATAATAATTATACAAATTATAAAAAATATTTTTAATAAGACTTAAAGATATCATGTTGATGGTTTAAAACCACAAAAGATCTTGATGCTAATATTTTTTAACATTTTAGGCTTTTAGAATAAGAAAAAGAGAAAATAAAAAGTGAGACCATGAGAGAAATTTAACGCAAGCTAATGTAATATAAATTAGTATCTTATAGATCTCACTATTCTTTTTTATATAGATAATAAACTCAACTAAATAATTAATGTTATAATGGGAATAACTAAAACTTTTTAACAGAAAAAACAATCAATACTTTTTATTTTCTTTCATCTACAATTAAATATATGATAATATAAATATCAATTACACACACATATATAATAGGGGTATTAATATTTTTTTTTTGAAGGCCTAAGGCAATTACCTCACTTGTCTTATGGCTTCTATGGCCCTGCAAAACTACATAACAGCAAAATATTGTATAAGAGTATTGAATTTATATAATGTTTTTGCATGTACAAGTGCAAGTGAAAAGCTAATTTTGGTCAAAATTACAAAACTCTATGTGACCAATTAGAACAACTAGTGATTGAGAATGTTAAGGAGGGCAACTCTAGTTTTGATAAGTCTCCTAAAAAGGGTTTCAAGTCTTTCTACAAAGTCTTGAATCACTGACTCCAAGTTTTCCAACTGGTTTTGCAAATGATCTGTATTCTCTGACTTTCCTGTTGTGTGGAACACAAAGGCTTGCAATGCAGAATCCACTTTGGCAAATTCATTCTCTTCTGCTTCCTGTGTATAAGAAACCTTTCTGTTGTGCATTAGCTTGGAAACCAAAGACCAGTTGCTTAGCTTTGACTTTGTTGACGCAATGATAAAACTCAACAATGACTCCAAAATCTGAAGAGTGACTATCTCCACATCTTTAAACAGGCTCACCAATTCTGGATGAGCCTTATGGCAAGGAGAGAGCTTGCACTTATTTGAAGAAGTCTTCAAATTTTCTAAGGCTTTGGAGATTGCCTTTTTGACTACCTTCCTAGAGGTCAAGTATTTTCTGACCTCTACTGTCACCTCCATTTCACCTCCTCTTTTTCTTCTCATGATTGATTGAACTTCCCTTGCACACTCTTTTGTATGCAACAATGCATCTTTGGCTGCTGTGCACGCGTCCAAAAGCCTGAGAGATCCATCCAAGAGCTTTTCCACCCAATTTTCTTGACTCTCTTGAACAAGGACTTCTCGGGTAAGGGAAAGTTGGACTAATTTTTCAACAGTTTCATGCAAATCCTCAAGGTCACTCAGTTTGTGGCCAAACGAGGAAGACAACGACGACGACGACGAAGTTGTAGCAGTAGAAGCCTCTAATCTGCTCAGGTGTTCGTTGCATTGTAGAATGAGAGGGTGTGGTTTAGAGGGCAAGCTGTTTGATCGAGGATGGCTATCAGAGGCTGCCATTTTTCCCCCCCAAAAGAAGAATAAAACAAAAGAGGATTGAATCTACAGACCTACTTTCTTTGCTTTGAGTTTGTGCAATTTATATTGTGGTTGTAGGAGACAAGAAGAATCTCATCTTTGCACGTATCAACGAGTCCTAACCGATTTAGATTCAGATCCAAACTTGGCTCAGATATGTCAATGCACTTGTCTCCTGCATTGCAACACCCCAACTCAGACTCTTGGGTGTGTTGTTATATGCACATCATTGATGTTTTCAAAATACTGAAAATAGAGAGTATAAACATACCTTAGATGTGACTCGTCTTCCACAGGTGTGGACACGCGTATTGGACAAATGTGAGATTTAAGGTAGCATACATATAACAACATAAGCGAAGATAGAACTCTTTTACTGGAAACAAGCACTGAATCATTTGTCTAAACACTAAGAAAATAAAGTGGCCCTGCACTGTCAAAAACTAAATTCACAATAATTATTGCTGCACGTTGCACTCTCAGGAGAAAGAAATAGAAAGTTAAAGATTTTATTAAGTTATTTACCCTTTATTATTTATAAGATACTTTCAACATGTTTTACTAAAATAAATAAAAACTTTAATAAAAGGTAACCATTTTGTATAAAAATTTAATAAATTTTTAACTTTATTCTTATTAAATATATATATTTTAATAATATAGCACTTTCTCTTATTAATATTTAATCGAGGGTAACATAAAACATTTATGATTAAAAATTAATAATGTGATTTATAAATAAAAAAAAATCTTTCTATTTACCATATAAATAAAACCGACGAAAGTATGTGACTGCTGAAATATGCTTTGCCACCATAGAGCTGGTAAACTTTATACTAGATATGATTAAATTAATGTAGTTTTATATATCTTCTAACTCTCCAGCTTTTCCGCAAGGAAACTATTCAATAACTCTTCATTAAAACGTGTGACCAACCGTCAACTTTCAGAAAAATCTGTCCCAAATAATAGTGCTGCATGTTAATCACACGCTAATGGATTTGGATCTTTAAAACGACCGCGTCTTAGCCTGCGCAATGTTTCCGGTGCATCAAGCTTCCATTTTGTCGCCTAAAGATTCGAATTTTGGAATCACATGGTGTTCCTGAAATATTGCATGTGCCAAAGGTGGAGTCTTTTGAGTTGTCTTGTCTACCCATCTCATCACAATTCGTTGATATTGAAAAACTCACAACGTCGTAATGGGAGCCTCTGTCTGCAGGAGAAGTAGCTGATATAATTTTTAATAGCTTCCAGTTTATGAATTTGCCTGCCAAGAACGAGTCTTTCATGCTAAGATATTGACAATGACTATGTTTATGCAATGTCCCCAGCTCAGTTTTGGCTAATGAATCAATTTTTTTTAATAAAATAATGGTAGCCTCTGTCTAATCTCTTCTGCTACAGGTTTTTCCTTGTTATTAACTCTTGCAGCATCTTCTTCATTTACGCGTGAAATTAATCGCTCCGAATGGCCTTGGAGACATGAAGGGTTTGAATAGCAGTCATAAAGCAGTGTCTTGTTTTTGCTATTGTAATGGATTATCTTCCATGAAAAAGGCTGCTTTTTATTTATTTATTTACTTTTTTATATTTAGGTGAGTCGAGTCCAACCTTATGAGAATAATGCAGGCTTTAAGGTTTATGAGATTGATGTATTTGGTTGAAGCGTAAATGAAGTTATGAAGTGTAAGTGGATCCAAGCATTCATCAAGATATTAGAGATTGTCCTTCTGTCTTTGAAATATGACTAAAACTGCTCAATACAAAATATGGCTCATAAATTAAGGTCAAGGATTAAGAAGTACATTAACTTCTCTTCCCCAATAAGAAGAAATTTATGGTACGGAAAAACAGAATGTTTTATTATGGAAGACTCGCATCTATTTTGTTAATGGAGGAGAAGTGATGCTAATAGGTTAGGTGTTTTTCTAAGCATAATCAGTGAACTCAAAAATTATTATGTGCCCTACAAATTGTTTTCCTTAGGTAAAGATATTATTGAATTTTCTTCTGTTTCTTGGTTCAAAAGGGACTATTAAATCAAAAGATCTATTTTTCTTTCACTGAAGCTAGTTCAATATGTATTGTGGGTATGGGAGACATGAATCTTATCTTTACATGTGCCATAAACACAAGTGGAATCACAAAAGTAATTTCTTGAGAGAAGAGGAGGTAATTTAAGAAATATGAACCAAAGTTTGTCTTTGTCATTTTGTTTAGGCAGCTGCATTCATGTACATATTTAAATACATACCAAACCAAGATATATGTCACTACAAAAATTTATGTCCCAATTAACACAACTAGTGATTGAGGATGTTAAGAAGGGCAACTCTAGTTTTAATCAAACGCCTGAACAGGAATCCAAGTCGTTCTTCAACATCTTGGATTCGAGACTCCAAATTTTCCAACTGGTTTTGCAGATTGTTACTGTGGTTCCTCTTGCTTGTCAAATTGAGCACAAAGCTCTGGATTGCCTCATCAACTAGCGCAAATTCACTTTCTTCTGCTCCTTGTCCACAAGCCACTACTCTTCTGGTGTGCATTGGCTTGGAAACCAAAATCCAGCTGTTTGGTTTTGTATGTGTTGATCCAGGATAAAATTCATTAGTGACTCAAACGTGGAAAGAGTCGCTCCTTCAACTTCTCTTAACAAGCTAACCAAGTTGCAATTAGATGATGACGAGTTTCCTTTCTTAGCCATACTCTTCATATTCTCCGAGGCTTTCAAGATGGCCTTTCTCAGCACCTTCCTAGATGTGAGAAAACTATAAGCTCTACTTCACTTCCTCCTCTTCTTCTTATGATTTATTGAAGCTCACGCGTGCATTCTTTTGTATGAAGCAGAGCATCTTTGGCTGCAGGACACACATCCAAGAGCTTTAAGGATCCATCCAAAAGCTCATCCACACTATTTTATTGATGCTCTTGGAGAAGAGCTTCTTGGGTAAGAGGAAGTTGAACAAGTTTTTCAACACAGTCATGGAGATCCTGCAAGCCTCGTAGTTTTTGGCTAAGTGACGAAGAAGAAGAAAAAGAGGAAGAAGAAGACGAAGTTTCTAGGGAAGAAGGCCTTTATCTGTCCAAGTGTTCCTGGCACTGAATAACCAGAGGGTGTGGTCTAGATGGTAAGCTATTTGAGCGAGCATGGAAGCGGGATTTTGATTTCAAAGGAGAAGATGCCCTTTTTGGCTTCATCAGAAGAGAAAGGGCCTAACGTTGGATGTACACTTGGGTCTATGAATCTACATATATATGATGGATATAGGAGACACAAGGAATCTCAACTTGAACTAATCCTAATCGGTAAAGATTTAGATCTGAACAAACGGTAGGAAAATGCATTTATTTATTATTAACACGTGTTTTGTATATTTTTAATTGCAACAATTGCTTGCTTGCAAAGTTTTTGTTGGCCATGTTACTGCCATTACTTCCCCGTGTACGCAATGGCTTGGGTTCTTTTTTATTCATTTATTTATTTTGTGGGAACATGCTCTTCTACCTCTGCATGATCAAAAATTGATATTATTTTTTAGGCTTGTAATATTGTTTTTTTATTATTGTTCTTTCTATAAGCTTGATGTTCAGAGTTGTATCATGTGCAAGCAAGATGAGCTGTGTTGTTGCTAGGCCGGGAGGAACAGATCTCTTTCATCCCTGAAAGCATGATCAATGAGTTCAATTCTTTTCCTTTTCTTTTCTTTTTTCTGGGCTTTTGTTTTCATACTGTTTAAAATTGAAAATCTTATCTTTGATTAATGTTAATTTTACTCAACGTGTACATGTTAGAAAAAGAAATTCTAGAATTTGTTTTTGTAAGAGTGATTCGGAAAAGCAAATATAATATGCTCATGAAGTGTTGTAAGTACAGTTTTTGTTCTTCATGCTTCTCACTCAGTTGAAATTTTTATCTTTGCCATTGATTTATGTATTTTCGAATCTCATGTGAGCTTAAGACTGGATCAGTGATGATTCTGAACTTCTTCTCCGGAATTGGTGGTAAATGTCTAGTGATATCAGAATTCATAACGCCCTTGCAAAAGGTGACCAATTAAAGAAAATAATTACAGCTTATATCACGGATTTTTTCCATTATTGTATTGACGTATTCAACTTCAGCAGCCTGAATATTGCAATCCTGAGGAGGCAAAATACAATTATGTAGAAGCGCATTTAGGAAGCTTTCTATTAGAGGAGTGATGTTAGATTGGTTTAGTGTAGGTCTCAAGAGAGAAGGTCAAAAACAGAATAGCCAAAGATTAAGATAGAGTATTTTAGTTTATATCAAAAGACAGCTAGGTTAATGTTTTTCATGTACAAATGTACTTGAGAAGCTCAATTCTGTTCAAATATACAAATTTACAGTAGACTGGTGTCATCAAATTGTACAGCTAGTGATTGAGAATATTTAAGAGGGCAACTCTAGTTTTGATAAATCTTCTAAAGAGAGTTTCCAGTCCTTCCACAAAGTCTTGAATCACTGTCTCCAGATTTTCCAACTGGTTCTGCAGTAGATCAGTATTCTCTGGTTTGCCTGAACTGTGAAATACCAAAGACTGAAATGCAGCATCTACTATGGTGAACTCATTCTCATCTGCTTCTTGTGTGCATGAAACCCTTCTATTGTGCATTAACTTGGAAACCAAAGACCAATTGTTTGACTTTGATTGTGTTGTCCCACAGATAAAACTCAACAGTGACTCCAATACATGAACAGTGACTGCTTCCACATCTTTAAACAGGCTCACCAATTCCCCATTCTGATGGCCCTTGTGGGAAGGAGTGAATTTGCACTTATTTGAAGAACTCTTCAAATTTCCCAAGGCTTTAGAAATTGCCTTTTTCACTACCTTCCTACAGGTCAAGTATTTTCTGACCTCTACTGTCAACTCCATTTCACGTCCTCTTTTTCTCCTCATGATTGATCGAACTTCCCTTGCACATTCCTTTGTATGCAAAAGAGCATCTTTTGCAGCTGTGCATGCATCTAGTAGCCGAAGAGATCCATCCAAGAGCTCATCTTGGCACTCTCGGACAAGAACTTCACAAGTGTCAAAAAGTTGAACTAATTTCTCAACAGAATCATGCAAATCCTGAAGCTCACCTAGTTTGTGGCTCAATGGTGGTGGTGGTGGTGGTGGTGGTGAAGAGGAAGCTGCAGCTGAAGCCTCTAATTTGGCCAAGTATTCGTTGCACTTTAGAATTAGAGGGTGTGGTTTAGAGGGCAAGCTGGTTGAGCGAACATGGTTACAATGGGAGTTTGGGTTGAAGAAAGAAGCAGCCATTTTCTTCAAGAGAAGAGAAAAAGTCTTGAGGTTGAATATGCACAATTGTTTCTATGGTTCAATATATATTGGCGTTTGGAAGATAAACAAAAGGAATCTAATCTCAACTCATATCGGTGAGCGCTTACAGGTTTAGATTCAGATCTAACATTATATCAGAAATTTTAATGCCATGTCTCTGGTAAAATAACACTCCAACTCAGACTTCATTTGTTTAATCCAAATACTGAAAATTATATTTGTGTATTCATTTAAACCAGCTCATAAATGACCTTATCATTTCTGGCTTCATTTCTAGTCAATGTCATGCGTATATAAATTAATCGTCTGCAAGTAGAAGTTCCACATAAGTGTGACTTATCTGCTGCACTCGTGGACAAAAATACAAAATTAGTATATTGAGTATGGAAAGCAAACTAACCAGCACGTTGTTCATTGCACATTCATAGGATATAAAACTCGAATAAATTATTCATGCATGTGTAGGCAATTATAGTAGTTCTAATTGTTTAATCAACTTGGCTTGATATGTTATATTGACAGATCAGATGAGGATTCAAATTGACTAGAATAGTTGAACTTCATGCATGGGTTTAACACTAATTTATTTTCAATTGTTGTGGTAAATAGGTGGGTTGAAGAAAACAGGAAAAGGTTGTCTTTTGAATTTAATTTCTCTTATTAAACTTCTGTTAGTTGCTGGGATTAGGTATAAAGTTTTCGTGATTATATTTAATCATCAACCTAATGACAATTGCAAGACTTTCTTGCAGATAGGTTCAGGATTCATACTTTGAATCCCATGCATGGCACAATACTGGGATTGCAGATCATAATTATTATGTTTTACTCTCCCTCCTTTATCCTTCGTTTTGCTTTCCTTTTCTCTTAAAAATAAAATAGAATTTCTTTGAAGCAAGAACTTGGCAAGAAGATGGTTAATTGGTGTATTGAATACGACAAAAAAATGTTCCTCTGCTGTATTTCCTTTTCATTTACTTTAAGAATCAGGTTGACCGAGAAAATTAACAAGAGGTTATTCTACTTTATGACTCTAATTAATCCTGAGATGATTCTATTTTTAATTAATAGGTAACAAAAATGGAAAACAGAGTTTGTAAGGCTGGAAAGCAGAAAGATGATCAAATAGAAACAACACCATCCCAAGATAACATATACTTAGTAAAAGAATAGTATTATTAATCACATTCTTGTACAAGTATGTGACCCTCATGGAAGAAAATTGAATTTCGGTGTCCAAGGCTATCCTGAATATATTGTGTAACTAGTTGTTGAAGATGTTGAGAAGGGAGACTCTAGTTCTGACGAGTTTCCTTGAAAGGCACTCAACTCCTGTTTCTAGATCTTGAATGCACATCTCCAAATTTTCCAAATGCTTTTGAAAATTCGCCGCAGATGCATTCTTGTGACTGATGAGAGACTTCAAAGCTGCATCAACCTTGTCATATTCATTTCTGCATATTTCTTGAGAGTCACAATCTACTCTTTTTGGCTGCATCAACTTGGAAAATGCTGACAATCTGTTTTGCTTTGATTGACCATTTGAATCAGAGATGAAGTAGAACAAAGATTCTAGTGTGCTCACGGTGACTGCTTCAGCTTCTCTTATCATGCTAAGAATGTCATTTTTTCTTTGTTTGAATGAGAAGTCACGAGATCCATTTTTCTTCCTCTGAAACTTCCCAAGGCCTTACAAATGGCCTTCTTCATCTTCTTCCTAGAAGCCAAGTATTCTCCAACCTCAATTGCCAGTCCATTTTTGGCAGCTCTCTTTCTGCAAATGATTGGCTGAAGCTCTTGCAAGCTTTCCTTTGATTGAAGAAGGAAATCTTTGGCAATGCTACATACATCCAAGAGCCTTAGAGATCCATCGAGTAGTTCATCAACGTTTTTGTTGCTCAACTCTCTTGCCAATTCTTATTGGGATATTGGCAATTGAAGCACCTTATCAATGAAGTCATGTAAATCCTGCAAGCCACTGAGTTTGTGGCTTTGAGATGAAGAAGCAGATTCAGAAGATTTCAATCTGTTATGATTCTCCTCAAACTGTGATACAAAAGGGTGAGGTGCAAAGGGCAAGCTGTTAGATCTTATATGCAGAGAGCTCTTCAAGATTGAATCAAAGGACGCCATTTTATCTTCTCAGTAAACAAAGGGAATAAGATGATGTATATACAGTGTTCTGAACTCGTGTGTGTTTCAGTGGTCAGCATCTTCTCCTTGTATATACCAGGATAAGATGGAGACAAAAAGAATATTTTTCTCTTCAAATGTCACAAAGTGGGCACGCAATGATATCTTCTTGATATGATTCTTAGAGCTGCCTTTACATTGCTTGACGAATGCTTCCTACATCCCAATTTTGCCAGCTCATTACTTAGTTTCTGATTTGGGAATCACAATAATGCATATGTCATTAGAGTGGACATCAAAATTTGATCTTTTGTCTGCGAGACAAGTTGTTTCAATCTTAATATAATCTCTATTCGATGAATTTGTATGCCTAAAAGATGCCCACAGCTATAGTTTACAGGAAATAGGAATCAAACGTTAGTGAAAGATGGATGACCATGTTCATGCATTTTTCTCAATTCATTGTCCATTATAAGGAGCAACGAATCTCTAAGATAAGCTGAATAAATAATACAAAAGACAAACTGGAAGCTGTCTCTCTTATGTATTCATCTTCAATGGAAGCTCTGCAGCACTCTGATGAGAGAGTCATCAAAATAAAGGGACAGAGAAATAAAAAAATTATAAGAGGATGGAAATTTGAAAACTTGGACAGGTCCCAATTCTGTTTCTTTGAAGGTAATGAGACAAATAATCAGAGTATGAGGTGTTAATGTTGGTCCCATTCTGTCCTTCATCCATCTTATAGCTGTATTCCAAAATATATTAGCTGATATCAAATGCTGCTGATGATGATAACCACAAGTCCAATGTCAATTTTTGCTGGTTCCCGGGTATGAATGGAAATTCCTGACGATGAAAGAGTGAGTGAATTAAGAAGTCAAATTCATCTGATGAAGATGACAATGGCTCAGGTTTAGGCAAACAAAGAATGTGTGATCAAAGAGAAATGGAGGAGATAGAGCAGCATGTAAGAGAACAAGATGCAGCAAACAGGAAACTGTGACAAAGAGTATGAAGAAGCAACTTGAAGATACCTTGAGGCTAGGATACTAACGTGAGAGAATCAGACTTGACTGTAAAAGCAAGCCTATTGGAGGAGGACATTCATATTTGACAAACTATAAGTCCTCACATTCCTTTTCATTCTATTTTTTTCTTTCCTTAGGATTTTACTGCTTTTTGTTGCTCACTGAAGGCTACCTGGTGTAGATTCAGATCTTCACATCATCTCAGAAATGTTAATACAATGTCTCTTCAGGAACATCCAACTCAGAACCTCATATTTTTATTTAACCCCACTCTTGCAATAATCATGCCTGTATGGCCCTTCACGTAGGACGTTGAAATTTACCAAAAGAAAATAACTAATTGCTTATTGGTTTGTCGTTATATGTACAAACAACCACCGCGTTATTCTGCAATAATAGCATATGAAAAATGCGAGATAGTTGCTCTTACATGTGAAAGCACTAAAATTTAGTCTGGATGCTTTGATTGGAGTTGGCTTGAAAGGTAGAAGCACAAGCGGGTTTTAATAAAAACCATGACTAGCGAGCCTGCTAACCTTTTTGTTTTTTTTTTTATCTTACTGTTTGTGCTCGTGACAGAAATGAAACTATGCGTGTAAAGTAAAACCAAATAGACAGATGTTTTATTTGCAGGTTGAATAAATAAACAGGTTAGTGTCTACTCTCATTCACATTCCCAAAGTTGTTCTGAATTTCAAGTTAAATTAATCATTCTACTATTCTTGAACAGAGAACGAAAAATGAAAAACTGAAACTTCTTTTGTTTTTAAGGGTTGGAAAGAAGACAAATGGTCAAATGACAGTATTGTGATCCCAAGATAACATATATTCCGTGACAAAATAGCATCTATAATTACAATACTGTGCAAGTATGGGACACTCATGGGAAAATTGGATTTGGGTGTCAAAGGTTGTTCTAATTAATTTATGAAACTAGTGGTTGAAGATGTTGAGAAGGGAAACTCTGGTTTTGATTAGTTTCCTTGAGAGGCTCTCAGCTGCTGCTTCTAAATCGTCAATGCAAATCTCCAGATTTCCCATATAGGCTTGAAGATTCTCAGAAGAATCAAGCTTGTACCTTGTGAGAGATCTCAAAGCCACATCAACCATCTCAAATTCGTTTGATTCTGATTCTTCAGAACAAGCTACTCTTTTTGGTTGAATCAACCTGGAGATTGCTGACCATCTGTTTTGCTTTAACTGTCCCTTTGGATCAGAGATAAAGGTCAACAAAGAGTCTAATGTGCTCACAGTGACCGCTTCTGCTTCTTTTAATATGCTAAGAATGTCATTCTCTCTGTTTGTAGGGAACTCATATGTCATTCCTTTGAAATTTCTAAAGGCCTTTCGTATTGCCTTCATGTTCTTCCTTGAAGCCAAGTATTTTCCAGCCTCAACTGTGAATCCAGTTTCTGCGCCTCTCCTCCTTCGAATGAGTGAACAAAGTTCAAGCATGCTTTCCTTCGACTGTAGTAGGCAATCTCTTGCAGCCGTACAAATATCCAAGATTCTCAGAGACCTGTCAAGTAGTTCATCAACCCATTTTTTGCTGCATTCTTTTTCAATGGTTTGTTGGTTGATTGACATCTGGAGCAACTTATCAGTGCAGTCATACAAATCTTGCAAACCACTGAGCTTCTGGCTTAGAGAAGAAGAAGAAGCAGATTCAGAAGACTTCAATCTGTTAAGATGCTCCTCAAATTGTGATACAAGGGGGTGAGTTGCAGATGGAAAGCTGTTAGAACGGATGTGAAGAGAGTTTTTAGTGTTTGACTCAGAGGCTGCCATTTCTTCTCTTGAAACAAAAGGTTAGGAGACTAAATGCAATTTTTGGTAAACTCTTGAGTTTTCCATGGTTAACATCTTGTCCTTATATAGCCACCAAACAAAGGGAGACAAGAAGAATATCCTTGTTTTCACATGTCACAAAATAAGCATGCAATGATATGATCAAGATGTGATTCTTTAAGCTGCCATTGCAATGTTTGCTGAATCACAAGAATAAGTGTCATGGATGGGATTCCGTTGTGTTGTCTCCTCCAGCTTGACATCCTGCAGATACAACATCTCAAACTGTGTGCTTCAACAAGACAAGCCAGCATCACAAATGGATACTTTGTCCATGGGGGAAAAGATGTTTCTGTGAACTTGCACGCCTAGAAGCGCCTACATATCAATCAAGGGTCAGACAAGTATGCATGCGATGTTTATACAGTTTTCCTAAGTCAATGTCCATTAAGTTGGAAACAATGAATCAATACCACGAGTTGAATATAAAAATAAAGAAGAAATTGGCACTGTAAGGTGGTTCTCCTTCTATGGAATCTCTCTATTAAAATGAAGCTGCCTAGTCATTTAATATAATGATGGAGCAATAAAAAAATATTCATTAATTAGTTCATTAAAAAAAACCTCACAAAAAGGCAAAAGCGTGTGAAATTGAGGAAAAGGGCAAGTGCCACCATTGTTTATTTTGAAGCTAATAACAACAGAGAGATATACTACCAGGACGAGGTGTTTATGTTACAGATGGCATGCCAGTAATTAGGCTTCTATTTCTGAGATATTTTGCTCTCTTTCCTCTATTTGACTTGAAATTTCATAGGGATGCTTTGATTCGATTTGACCTCATCCTTCTTCATGTTTGTTCTTTCTGGTTGTGGCAGAAATGATGCCATGTATACAAAATAAACCCAGATATTTTTGCAGGCTAATCAACAAAATATAAAGAGATTATCCTATATCCTAGGTCAAATTTTCCAAGGTCAATTAGCATTTTAAAATTGGAAAAAAAATATCACAATCAACGGAAGGAATAACAACGAAAAATGTGTTGGGACGAAGACAGGTGATCAAATCATTAAATAGCTAAAATGTAATACCAAGAAAATATACATTCAGTGCAAGATGTTCTATGTTTAAGACTATGATAATCATGGGGGAAAAATTAATGGTTGAAGATGTTGAGAAAGGAAACTCGAGTTCTAATGAGGTTACTCGAGAGACAATCTACTCTTCTTTCTAGGTCCCGAATGCACATGTCCAAATTCTCAAATTCGCTCTGAAAATTGTCAGGATATGTAGACTGTGACTAATGAAAAACTTCAAAGCTACAGCAAACTTCTTAAACTCGTTTTCATCTGATTCTTGAGAATTACAAGCTACTCCTCTAGGCCGCATCAACTTGAAAATTGCTGACCATCTGGTTTGCTCAGATTGTCCCATTGGATCAGGGATGAAGTACAACAAAGATACCAATGTGCTCACAGTGACTACTTTAAACATGTTTCTTTGTTTTCAGAAGAAACTATGAGCTCATTTCTGATTTCTCCGAAATTTCCCAAGGCCTCGTTAACGACCTTAATCTTCTTCCTTGAAGCCAAGTAAATTTTTTTTTTCCTCTCCCTAAATTGAGTCCTTTTTTTTCAGCGAATGATTGATTGAAGTTCTTGCATGTTCTCCTATGGTTGCAGCAGGGAATCTCTGGCAATACTATAGATATCCAAGTGCCTCAAAGACCCGGCATGTAGTTCATCAACACAATCTTCACTGCAATCTTTTGTCAAGGCTTGTTTGGAGATTGACAATGGAAGCAACTTGTCTATGCAATCATGACAACCCTTCAAGTCACTGAATTTGCAGCTTAAAGAAGATGAAGAACAAGCAGATTCAGAAGACTTAAATCCGTTTAGATGCTCTTCAAACTGCAACAAAAGGGGGTGAGGTGAAGCAGGCAAGTTGTTGTGACGGATATGAAGAGAGTTCTGTGTCTAATTCAATGACGGCCGTTTTCTCCTCTGGGGAAAAACATGACCAACAGGTCAAGCGTACAATTTGCTCTAAATCTTTGGGTTTCCACGGGTGCCATCTCTTTATAAAGGCAACAAATAGAGGAAGACAAATATTGTTCTTTCACAGATCACAAAGTTGGAACGCAATGACATCATATTAATTCCTTGAACTGCCACAACATCGTCTGGTCAATGTTTGGTTTTGGGAATCAAAAGATTGCATGCCGCGTAGATTGGATGCCTTTGATATGCCTCCTCCATCTCAAAAGGCAAGGGCATAATTTATGGATTATTCTTTATCAGAATAAAAAAAAAGTATAGATCAAATGTCCAGGGGAAGTTGTTTACGTTTTTAATTATCCCTATCCCACATTAGCGAAATTGCAAGCACGGTACTACCTGCGATTATAGTGCAAGGGCCAAGGAATCATTTCATCTTTAGAGATCAAACAATGTTCTGCCTTGCGCGATGCACGGGAAAGATAAGATCTTGTGGAAGGACTATTGTTTTAGCCTATGAAATATACATGTAAGATAACGTTGACCAATAACAATAAATAAATAATATACATGATTGGGATAATCGTCAACAAATCTCTTGAAACTGTATCCATCAAAAGAATACACGACTAATTTACCAAATGACTAAAAATCATTAATGATACTATGGCTAATAAATGAAAGCTAATAAACAATCCAAGTTTGGAAAGCGTTCTCCTTCCCATTAATTCTTCTAATCATAACTTATTTTTCTTTAAATTTGGGTCTAACAATCTTAGATCCCTCTTGGCAAAACCCATTAAGTGAAAAAAGAAAACAAATTTAGTTGACACTTCACATATAAAGAAAAAAAGAAAAGAAAAGAAAATTGTGCCCCTTAAAATACCACAGCAAGATATGCATCGCCATCACTTATTTATTACACATCTCTTTTTTAAATAATGAAATGAACCTCTACTCTCACAAATTTATGAACAGAAAAGAATGAGATCAGCATCATGATTTCCCAACTACTTATGTACAGATAGATATATTCCCCAAGAAAACTAACTCGTGATGTTATGGCAAGCTGATACGCCGGCCTCTCTAGATCCCCGTTTGTAAGTGTGCTTACATCCACTCCAATGCGATGCTCATGAATCAAGTCAATTTTGCCATTACAACGCAATGATCAAAAATGGTTATTAACTCAACTCAATCAATCATATATCTATTATGAGATAAACGGAAATTGAATGTCTAATATGTTTTTCCATCCTACACCTCTGCATCAAGTCTAAATGTTGCGTATTGTAAAATTAAAAACAGATCTGAGCTGTTGAACCATTCAAATCATCCTAATCTCCATCAGATTCACAAAATCTATTTCATTATCACACTTTTGGATGGGTTACATTAGACAAGTATCACCCCAGAGAGCACACTGGACCAAGGCCATCAGAAATATTGAATTCAGTGCAGGGCAAGAAAAATAGAGTGAGGAGTGAAAACCAATCAAGAAGGTCTCATGTTTGAAAGACCAAATTATATACGAGAGTACAAGAGTGTAGAGTCTGTTTATGCCAAAGAGGAATGAGGTAACTATGATGAGTAGCAGCGTGATTAGATCATCTAAGTTCTTCAACACAGTAAAAATGGAAAACATATAATAAGGAATATGTCAACAGTTAAGAAAATATATTAACAATTATCAAATGATTGTTATTGTGCATAAGAAAATCTAGGAAAGTAATTTTCAAGCTTCTTAAAATAACTTCTGCAGACAGAAAATGAATTTATAAGAAACGTGACAGCAAAAACCAGAAGAAAAAGAGGGTATAACAAAAGTAATTGAAACATCAATGGCCAATGAAGAAATTAGATTCATGCAATCTACCTTATTTCGAAGATTCCCAATCTGTCCCACTTGTCTTCACATTTTCCATCATTACATTATGGCAAAACAAATCAACCCAATGATGAGATCATCAAAGTACAAAAACTACTCACAATGCAAGTTCAAGATAGAAACCTCCCTGTAGAAGTCGAAGGCATTGGAAATCCTTTATGTGAGCATGATCAATCTCAATTCTAGCCATTTCTAGACGCTTTCGAGCCTCTGATAGCTGAATGGACAGAAAGGCAAAAATATTTTAGATCCACAGAAAAAGTATCGTAGGAAATTGTATATGAAGAAAAGCCGGCCAAGAAGAAAATAGTTTTATTGGGGGCTCAAATGAATTTAATAACCTTGGAAGAGCAAATCAACAGTTATAACATGGAAGTGAAACATGAGAAACGTGTCACTATACCTTATTGCAGAAATTGTACACTGTACCATAAGCAAACGTTCTTTTGAAGAAGGGAGAGTTTCAGATAAACAAATTTTCTTATTTAATTGCAAGTATCGTAAATTATTTCCAACATAGTCAACACCTTCTATACAAGAAGAATGTTTGCAAAAAAGACTTCAGCAAGAAAAAGCTCAATATTGACTCTGGTCAAATATCAACATGAGAGGCAGCTTGTACATAATTTCAGTTAGTTAAATACGTAACTCTATTATTCCAAAACCCGGCAAGATATAAATTCCCTGACTTGGCAAGATATGTGCGGATAAAAACTGCATCACTCACCTCAACAACCTTTGTATCACAAAGAGAAAATGCCTCCTAAAAAGGAAATCAAGTGTTCTTTGGATTATTACATGAGAAAACATAAAAGGAATTAAGTCACATCAGTTAACATATCAAGATAAGTATAACTGTATATGGCTAGATTAACAATTTTTAGAAATTTATCAGGAACTGACCTCACCCACAGAGAGCACAACTAAAGCATCATTGTAGTTTTTCTGTCTAATAAGAAGATTTCCATTTGCATGAAGCATCAGTCCCATCATTACTGCCCTGCCAAATGATAGCTTGACCCTTATTTTGATGGTTAAAACAGAATCTAAAGCCCTCAAGCAACTTGTTTCATCTAAATGAATTTGTTGAAATGTCACAAGTTCCATAGTCCATACCTCTGATCAGTCTAAGAACCTCACTGCACTTTTGTCCGCTTTGATCTTCAACTTCTACGTTGAAGTCTTCTATAGGTAATGAACCATCAGCATACCTTTTGGTCAGTGCTGCGGTAGCTTCTGTTTTCAAAATATGAAAGTCAACAACAGAAATTAAAGATGAAGAAACGGATAAAATTAAAGGAGAAAATTAAAAGAAGAAGAAGGAGAAGAAGAAATCAAATAGAATTTAAATTTTACCATTGTGCAATGATCGGCTAGTGGTCATTCAAAGCATTACGGCATAACCAATGTCATACTCACTTTGATTGACTGCTCACCATTTCCCAATCTGTCACAATACACTCAACAACAACAACAACAACAAGCCTTTATCCCACTAGGTGGGGTCGGCTACATGGATTGCAAGACGCCATTGTGCTCTATCATTTATTAAGCTTTTAGAAATATTATTAATTAAGAGATCACGTTCAACAACTTCCAAGAGTGTTCTCTTAGGCCTTCCTCTACCTCTCTTAATCGGACTCAAAGTTATATGTTCCACTCTTCTCACTGGTGCCTCCCTTGGTCTTCTTTGTACATGCCCAAACCATCTCAACCGATTTTCTACCATTTTTTCCTCAATAGGTGCCACCCTCACTTTTTCACGTATGTGCTCATTTCGAATTTTATCTTTACGTGTATGTCCGCACATCCATCGTAACATTCTCATCTCTGCTACTCCAACTTTATGCTCTTGCTGTCCCGTTAGAGCCCAGCATTCACTACTATATAACATTGCCGGTCTGATAGCAGTACGATAAAACTTTCCTTTAAGTTTATTAGGCACCTTACGGTCACAAATAACTCCTTTAGCTTTTCTCCAATTAAACCACCCAGCTTGAATTCTATGTGAAATATCTCCACTGATTTCGCCATCATTTTGGATAATGGCTCCCAAATATCTAAACTTTTCCACTTGAGGTATAATTTGATCTCCCAATTTTACTTCCAAATTATTTTCGAATAGTCCTTTATCAAATTTACAATATAAATATTCCGTCTTACTTCTACTCAGACGAAAACCTTTCGACTCCAATGTCCTCCTCCATAACTCAAGTTTGCAATTAACCTCTTCTCTTGTCTCTGCTATAAGAACTATATCATCCGCGAAGAGCATACATTTCGGGATTTCCTCTTGAATATGTTCCGTCAAAACATTTAAAATCAAGTTGAACAAATAAGGACTCAGAGATGATCCCTGATGTAGCCCAATCTTTATAGGAAAATCTTTTGTTTGACCACTAGGCGTTCTTATACTAGTTTTTACCCCCTCATACATATCTTGTATGGCTTTAATATAAGCAATCCGTACTCCCTTTTTTTCCAACGCTTTCCAAAGCACTTCTCTTGGTATACGGTCATAAGCTTTTTTCAAATCAATAAAAACCATGTGTAGATCTTTATCTTTACAACGATACTTTTCCATTAATCCCCTTAGTAGATAAATCGCCTCTGTAGTTGATCTACCTGGCATAAAACCAAATTGATTCTCAGAAATACTTGTCTCCAATCTCAACCTATGCTCAATTACTTTCTCCCACAATTTCATTGTGTGGCTCATGAGTTTAATCCCTCTATAGTTAGTACAATTCTGAATATCTCCTTTATTTTTATAAATAGGAATTAATGTACTTCTCCTCCACTCATCAGGCATTTTCTTGGACCGTAAAATCACATTAAATAACTTAGTTAACCATCTCACCCCTTCTTCACCTAAACATTTCCACGCTTCGATAGATATACAATCAGGTCCGTTAGCTCTACCATTTGCCATTTTCTTAAGAGCTTCCTTTACCTCCTTATCACGTATGTTTCGATAGAATGACAAATTTTGTTCTCCTTCACCAATTACTAAATCCTCCAAGTTACTAGATGAATCCTCTCCATCATTGAAAAGTTTAGAAAAATAAGTCTTCCATCTATTTTTAATTTCATCATCTGTAACTAAAATTCTTCCCTCTTCATCCTTAATACACCTTACCTGTTCTAGATCTCTTGATTTTCTTTCCCTACTCTTGGCAATCTTATAAATATTTTGCTCTCCTTCCTTCGTCTCAAGGTTCTTATAAAATTCTTCAAAAGCTTTAGAACGAGCTTCACCCACAGCTCTCTTAGTTTCCTTCTTAGCCATACGGTACCTCTCCCAATTTTCCTCATTGTTACACAAATGTATGGCTTTAAAACAGTTCTTCTTATACTTGATTTTGTCCTGTACACTATTATTCCACCACCAAGACTCCTTATCTCTCGGACCAGGACCTTTCGATTCTCCCAAAACTACTTTTGCAACCTCCCGTATCTTTTTAGCCATATCCTCCCATATGATGTTAGCACTTCCCTGAGAATCCCAAATTCCTTTATCCAAAAGATTTCGCTTGAAAATATCTTGCTTCTCACCTTTTAATTGCCACCACCTAATCCTTGGTGTTACTACTTGTCGACGTTTTTGGATTTTACTCATAATACACACATCAAGGACTAGGACCCTATGTTGTGTCGTTACAGCATCTCCAGGGATCACCTTACAATTTTTACAAAGTTTTCTATCTGTGTTCCTAACCAAAAGAAAATCAATCTGCGACCTTGAGGCTCCACTTTTGTAGGTGATGAGATGCTCATCTCTCTTCTTGAAACAAGTATTGGCAATCTTAAAATCATACGCCAATGAGAAATCAAGAAGAGTTTGCCCTTCATTGTTTAGCTCTCCAAAACCAAAACCACCATGCACCCTCGCATACTGACCAGCTTCCCTCCCGACATGCCCATTAAAGTCTCCTCCAATAAAAATCTTTTCACTCTGTGGTATGTGTCGAATCAACCCCTCCAGATCCTCCCAAAATAATTCCTTAAGACTGGCTTCTGTCCCGACTTGCGGCGCATAAGCGCTAACAATATTAACAGTCTCACGTCCAATTATCATTTTTAAAGAAATAATTCTGTCTCCAATTCTGCTAACTTCTACAACGTTCTTCTTCCACTCCTTATCTATAATGATGCCTACTCCATTGCGTGCACTTACTTTTCCTGTATACCAAAGTTTGAAACCTTGAATATCCTTAGCTTCTTCTCCACGCCATTTTGTTTCTTGCAAGCAAAGGATATTGATTTTCCGTTGAATCATAACCCCTACAACCTCTACAGATTTACAATTTAATGTCCCAACATTCCAAGTACCAAATCTAATTTTGCTCTTATGGACTAACTTCTTTAGCCGCGTGCGTCCAGAATGACGCGGTAGCCCTTGCTCATTTAACACTACATCCGGGCGCCGATGCAGCGGCTCTAACTCACTTATCACTGTACTCGAGCCATGCAGCGCGTTACTTACGGGCAACGACCTAGCATTAACATTATAACGTCTATTGTCCATGTTCATGATAGATTCAACAAATTTTTACATTGGCTGTTGATGGCCTAACACAACCCTCCTCCTTTACCCGGGCTTGGGACCGGCTATAAACATAGGCGGAGTTTCACAATACACTCAAATTGAAATGTTATCCAACTATTAATTGGAGATTAAGCCACATTCACTCACATTGAATGGTATGCATCACAATCACATTATTCTAATACTATTGCGTTTTAAGTTTTGCAGAATAAAAAACAAAACAAATATATAATTATTAAAAACTATTTGTCACGCACCAATTCCTAGTTGTCTCCTCAATTCCTGAGGCTCTCATCATTTTATTGTATCCTTGCATGTTTGGTTAACAATCAGCAAACAAATTGACCATATACATTGTTTATAGAATAACTATACATGCACCATATTGCCCTGAATCTCTACTCCCTCGTCTTCTCATAACCCTTTTTGATCCCCAAATTCCCGCTAAAAACCCCATAACTTGTCTCAAAAATCCATTGCCATAAAATTCATCAAAAGATAAATAGTCCTCTAAAACATTGGAAACGCTTCAGCACTAAGATCTCCACGACAATTTTGGGTTGATTAAACATAATAATAATTTGGTTTAGTAAAAGTAATGTCCATGACATGGATTTAAGCATAGTAGCCTAGAACATATACCAAGAAAGTCAAGCTCTAATATTGGAACAATTTGCTAAGAAAATGGAAGGCTTGTGCAGGATTTAATGTTCTTCAACAGCTAAAGTTAACTGTAGCCAAAAGAAGCATAACAAAAGTTGAGGCCTACTTTTACATCATAAATTTTTATGTTATCAGGGACTAAAAATGCTGAAATTGATCTCTTAATATTGCAATCAATACAACATCCTTTCACCTCACCATTGCAAAAAGGACAATTCATTCTTTGTTCTGCTTCAACCTAAGATATTTCTAATACGTCATATAAGTAGAGTTTAAGTAATGACAAGGTTAAGCAAAGATAACTTAATCTCGCTATATATGGCCTATGCTTGTTCTAGAATACAATCTTGTGCAACTGAGAGGGTAATAAACTTGTACAAAATAAGATTTCAGAATTTTAGTGGCTAAATCTTTATCTCAACTTCAATTATATTAAAATTAGCAAGTTTATTGTCATTGATTAATTGCCAAAGACCCATTTCTTCAAAAGGAAGAGGTCTAATAAAATCTGATCTAAAAAACAATGAAAAAAAATCATAAAGAAAGAAAATGCAAAACCAAATACTCATTAAATATAATAATAAAAACTCACAAGTGCTCCAAAGCAATATCAAATACACGCCAAGTTAATTAAGTTCACTTGCTAAATCATGTACATTTCACAGTTTAAACATATAGGCTAAACAACGTTAAAAAAAAAAAAGAAAGAAAGAAAGAAAAGAAAAAAAAAAACAACCCTGTTCTCATTTCCCTCTGAACGTGCAACGTGATATTCATTACTTTTTATTGATGTAACTGAACTAATCGAATTTTGTGTACAGAAGAGCCACCATTTCTTAGCTTGCGAAATAAAGAAATTATGATACTTCCTTTATGGTATTGGTGACTATGCTTCAAAAGGCAAAAGCCTTGTAGTTAATCATATAAAATTCTACAATACTAGGAGGAGACAGCCAAGTAAGACAACTTAAGTTCTGCAATGCTAGGAGGTGTTAGAGCTCCAATGCCCTCCTCCTTTTCAATCTGCCAAAGTTTTTGTGACAGTAGGAGGCTGAGAAAGTTGAGAAAAGTGTACCCCATAATCCCCACCTTTCCCCAACCAAAAAAAAAAATGCAATATAAATTTGGCCCAAAAAATAAGTGAAATATAGAGAGAGAGGGCGAGAGTTCTCAGGAAGTGAATATATGATTCTTCACAATATAAAAGACCTCATTAAAGAATACCTGACTTAAAAAGCATCAAAAGTTCTACTCTACCTAACTGCCGGTTTCTACTCATAAAAATCTCAGTATAAATGCAGAAAGAACATTACTCAGATGCAAGGTTAATTGTAGAATAAAAGAGGAAAAACCTCGACAAAGACAAAAATTGTACAAGAATGGAGTTCACCTTCTTATAAAGTTAATTTTATAAACAGAAAATTATGTCATCTAACCACAAAATTTCTGGGTAAATCTTGCAAAATTACCATCAAATTAGAATCAAGCCATCAATATAATTATCGCTGCAGCCTCACATATTAAATGAGATAAAGCCAGAGGTCACAATTAAATGCTACGTTACATTGCATAATCTAGAACACAATTCTGGACACAGAAGCTATGAAGCCACTAATCTGCTATTCAATGTTTAGTACCATTCTCAGCCGCATTCTCTTCCTTCCCAAGCAAAACCACAACTTTCTTCAAAATGGCTTCTGTTGGATGGTGAGAGTTCTCCACTGCTTTCGAGATGGACTGCCATTTCTCACCATGTTTTGGTTCAGCAGCAACACACCTTTTCAATACTTCCTTCTGGTTCTCCTCAGCTCCATGTTGAAGTTCAAATTTATAGTTCCATGCCCAGAAATCCCCAATATCAGGTGCCAGAGTCACAGCCCTGTTCAGCCAAGTTCTAGCTTTGTCCACCTTCCTGTCATGCCAGAATAATTTTGCCACAGCAGCGATGACATGAGGATCATGATCACATTTTTTGAGGGCATCCATACTCTTACTTTTACGTTGGGGGCGAGGAACCATCTCAATTGACATTGCCCACAAAATACCACTGTTTGGACACTCTTGCAGTGCTTTTGCCATCAAAATATCAGCTTCCTTCTTATTTCCATGCTTCAATTCTGCTCTAACAGCAGCCAGCCAGAGTTCAGGGTTTTGAGGATTTTTCTTCCGAGCCATGGTTAGAACTGCACGAGCTTTACTCAGTCCATTCATCTCCTCTTCAAGTTTTGCAAGAGAGAGCCATAGAGGAATACAATTAGGACAGTTTTTCAGTCCAGACTCATAAATTTTCTTAGCTTCCTTCAAGTGCTCAAGATGTTCCTCATGCTTTTCATGCTGTTTAGAAGCCTGAGCAAGTCGTTCCTCAAGCTGACCAAGCATCAGCCACAACTTGAAGAATGAAGGGAAAAGATTTAGCCCTTCATCTAACAACCTTCTTTCCTCATCAATATTTCCCAGTTCTCTCTCAACAATTGCGGATTTCATCCATACTCTTTCTGTACCTCCTCTCTCACGAGCTTTGGCCAACAGCATTCTAGCTCTCTCAGGTTCATGGTTTTCAAATTCCAGCTTGAAAGCAGCTAACCATATTTCCTCAGAATTGGGAATGGCAGCATAAGCTTCTTGGAGGATTGCACGAGCCGCAGGCACATCCCCAGCAAGCCATTTCTCTTTCGCACCCATAAGCCAAAGAACTTCAGCCTGTGGTCTGTATGTAACTGCTTTACGAAGTAAAGCATCAAGAGATTCCCTAGTTCCGTGACTTTTTTCAAGCTGAGCTGCTTTGAGCCATATGCTCTTCTTAGTTAAGAAGACAGTAAGGGCATGAGCATATATAGCTCTTGCTGTCTCAATAGAACCCCTTTTCTTGCACTCTTCTGCATCAGCAACCCATGTCCTCTTTCTATCTTCTTCTTCCACTCCAATTGCAATTGTATTTCGAATTATAGCCTGGCAAGTTGCAACTGATCCTGCACGTTCTGCAGCCTCAGCTTCCTTCATCCAAGCTTCCCTATCTATAGTCAAACCTTCTCTTTGCAAAGCCCTTATACCTCTTTCAATAATTTTACCAACCATGGAAGTATTGCCATTTGCTTCTTCTAACTTTGCAGCTGTTATCCATATGGCTGGCTCCTTTGGTAACCTCTCTCTTGCCCTATTAAGAACCTTCCTAGCATTATCATAAGTTTCCAACCTTGCAAGTGCTAGCCACAATTCAACATGCAATGGACAACATTCCACAGCTCTGTGAAGCAAGAGCCTTGCATCTTCTTCATTAGCAAGCTCCACAACCGCCTTCCACAGCCTAACAGAATCAGGAATGTGCTCTAACCCCTTCCTCAATGCCCTACTCTTGTTCACATCATCATGTTCCAACTTTGCAGCTTGCATCCACAGCTTCACAGAATTAGGGATCGATTTGACACCCTTAGCAATAACAGCCTTGGCATCTTCCGGATTTGCCAGCCTACAAGCCTCCAACCACACATCTTCATTCTTGGGACACTCCTCACAACCTCTCTGAATCAACTGCCTTGCTGCCTGAATCTTGCCAGCTACTTCTTCCAACCTTGCAGCCGCAATCCAACCAGGAGGGTGTTTAGGATTTGTCTGGGTAACACTCTTAAGTAGCAACCTAGCCTTCTTGATATCTGAAATTTCTGCATCACTTGTTATTTTCATACTCTTAAGATCAGTCAGATACCCCTTCGGATCCACAACTGTCAACCCTGAAACTGAATCTGAGAGTCTATCCAGCTTCAAAGACAACACAGTGCCTCTACCCTCACCAACTGCAGTTAAATCTGTAACTGGTGTTTGCGCCCATGGAGTTTCGGTTCCCCCAGCTGCTCTACTCTTGGGATCCAATGCTGTAACATGTTCTTGCTCCTGTCTTGCCTTCTCAAGAAGCGTATCAGGCACCGGAACAAAACTCTCAAATTTCTTCTTCTTATTCCTCAAAGAATAATCCCCAATCTCCGGTATACTATCCCACTCTTGTGCAGAAATGGTATACAATTTACGTTTCAAATCCGCAAACTGCTCAGTGATCTTGGGGTTGGACGCCCGATACTTCTCAATCTCCTGCTTCAACCTTGCTTCTCTCCTATCCTTCCTCCTTGAATCCATTCTCTTGTCAATGGCTTCCCACACAGCATCGGCCTCCTTATCATCCTCATCGTACTCGGCAGAAGCAAACAACCCCACATCATTCCCTTCAAACTCATCAAACTTTTGATTCTCATCGTACCCTTTATCATCCCCTTCATCATCTTCCTCGTCTTCACCTCCCCTCCCTCCTCCCCGGCCAGCTGCAGGGGCAGCACCGCCAATGGTGCTCGCCGACCTATCCGGTAGGTCAGGAGCGGCACGGGCAGGCCCTATGTCAGAACGGGTGGTGAATCCAGTGGCCCCACGTCCAAGACCAGCAACATAATTAGGGGGAGGCTTGGAGTTAAGGAAATCAAATCGAGGTTTGGGAGGGACAGGAGGTTGAGTTCCACCAAGGAAGGGAACGTGAAGAGTTAAAGTGGAGTAAGGTCGAATTCCGAGATCGGAGATAAGAACGGAATCATAATCGCCGAGCAATCGGAGACTCTGAGAAAGGAATAAACGTTGGTGGGATATGGGTGTGTCGGAAATTTGCTGGACAGCAAGCTTTAAGGCATGGAGAGAGGTCGTCTTTGGGTCAACATCTAGGGATAGAGTTTTGTGGCTGGGCGGCACAATGAAGACCATGGCTCTATCTCCCTCCGATTGAAAATGAGAGACTCACACTCAGTCTCACTCAGAAACTAAAGCAGAAAGAAGCAGAGAGGATAATTACCTGTATAGTTTTCGAAAATGAAGGAAGGAACGAAACCGCCGCCAAAAGATGGAGAATATCGGGATTACCTGAGGATGCGACCGCCCTGTGTTCAGTCGTATATCAGAGGCTGCTTCCAGAACTAAAATCTCAGCACTTCAAGCTTAAGATAGACGAGTCTCGTGCAGAACCGTTGGCTTCATATTTCGGAATAATGATGCCTTTTTAAAATAGGGAAAATGAGAATAAAATTTTTTAAATTATATAAATAATAATCCATCTTTTAAAATATTATAATTTTATTAACATTTTTAAGAATTTTTATGTTAATAAACTTTAAAATAAAAAAATTATTTTATTTTTTATTAAAAATAATAAGTGTCAATCATAATTTTTATTTAAAAAATAATAATTTTTACTTCATGAATCGTAATAACTTGTCAAATATATATAATTTTTATTATTAAAAAATAAATTTTCAAAAACTTCAATCATAATTTTTATTTAAAAAATAATAATTTTTATTTTGTAAATTGTAAGAATTGAATAAGAAATTATAACTTGTCAAATACTCCCTCCATTAAAAATATAAAGCATTTTTAACCGAATTTTACCCCAATAAAGTAGTTGTCTGCTTTCAAACTAACCCTATCTTTTTATATTTACCCCTATTAAATACCCTATAATAAATATAAAGTTATTATCAATAGGAACATTTTTAAAAAAAGATAATGATTACACATGAAAAAAATTAAAAATATCTCACATTTTTTAACATTCAACTCCTCAAAAAATACCTTATATTTTTTTAATGGAGGGAGTATAATTTATATTATTGAAAAATAATTTTTCAAAATAATAAGTTGTAATTATAACTTTTATTTAAGAAATAACAACTTTTATTCAAAGAATCACAAAAATTGAACAAGAAACCACAACTTATCAACAAAGATAAAATAATCTTTTCAATTTAAAATTTATTGACATAAAAATCTCTAGATATTTTAGTAAAGTTATAATATTTTAAGATATCAGATTATTATTTATATAATTTAATGAAATTTTATTGTCATTTTTCCTTTAAAATATCATTATAACTCTTCAACAAATAGAATAATACTGCACATAAATAATTGGGTTTTTAATGATATTTATTAGGATAAATTGGCACACTGTTAGGGAAAAAAAAATCTTGCATTTAGAAAATATAAACCAAATTTTTTAAAATTTAGGAGTGTGGCTGATTTACACTAATATACAAGGAGTTTAGAATTAAAACTTTATAAGTAGTTTATTATTTATATATTACAATATATCATTGACAAATATAATAAATTAATCATAATATAAAATATAATAAATGTTAAATTATTTGCTTGATTGGTCTTATAATATGAGTTATATATGCAAAAGCTCTTTTTTTTTCTTTATTAACCCTTTCCTTTCTCTCTTAGGTTTTCTCCATTTCACTGCTTTTTATCTACAATATTTTTTTAGGAGAATTATTGTAAAGTTCCACAAAAGCTGTTTGATTTCTCTAAGATCCTATGAAATGTACAAATAATTTAAAGTCCCCAGATACTTCGCTGTAAATATTTTTTGTTGTCCAATTACCAAGTTGCTCTTTATCTAGAGAAAGGAAAATGAAGGCAAAACTCCGTTTGCTCCAATGTATCCTTTTTCTTCCATCTCTGCAAACTCTCATTCATCCCTTCCAATCCCGACCTCTATACTCAATCTTCATTGTCAATTTCTTGCAATCTGACGGGATCTCTCATCGTTGTCCCACTTCTTGATGCTTTGACCTTGTCTGAGTCTATAATGGCTAGGCATTTTACTTCTCTTCTCCTGTCTCTCAATCACCCAGCTCATCCCACCAATCTTGCTACTCGATGCACTTTATTCCATGCTTCCCCTGAGCTAGGTGAGTTCCTCTAATTGATCCCTAAATCTCTCATCTCATTTACCTCCTATTTCTATGCCACTCTCCCTGCTATTGTTATAGACTCTGTTGGATGCTTCATCTCAGTAACAGATTTTTTGTTGTTGTTCTTTTATACTTGGGTTTGAAAATCAGAGTTTCTTTAATGGACGGTTGGGGGAATAGCTGTAAAAACAAAAATGAAGGTATATTTTAGATTATAACTTTCTTCCTTATTAGTTTAGGAGGAGGAAGACATACCTTAGTGATGCACCCGATAAAATATCAAATGCAGGAATGGAGTCACAAGGCCAAATTCAATTCAAGTTCACACAGCAAATGCATACAGACCCAAAGAGAAGAGAACAGAGGAAAAGGGAGACTGAATGAAATGCATGTTACCTCACAAAAATGAGAAACCGGTTCCTCATATAGCCATCATGCATAAAGTGGCAACGTGTGAGATGCTTACATAACTATTCCCTCCCTTATTTGAATAAAAAGAAGAGAATCACACATGAAAGCCATAGATTTTCTCATAATTTTGATAGAATTCCATTCTATAATTAGATTTTTATTTGAACTTGATCCACCAAGTATAGATAACCCAACATCTCCCACTCATGTATGGTGGAGAATATAATATCAATCCTGTCCCTTTCTCTTCCTCTTTTTATATGAGATGCTTTGTCGTGACCACATTGGCTTGATGTCTTCATTTTGAATATTTGATCTAAAAATCCTATTAAGGACAAGCATAAATAACCCTATAATTTATTTATTCTTAATTAAATTTGTACTTTGAATGTCCTAAATTTATCAATATACACTTTTCTCACCACAACTAATATGATCCCTCTTTAGTCAATTTAAGACTTAAATAATCTCTCTTATATGCATGGTATCCACACTTATGAATTAATAAATTACTTCATAAGGGGCATGTCTTGGACACGAGTATAAATGTGTATATTTTAAGTAATCTTTCTTTTGCCCATACATCACTTTGATAGAAAACAACCGCTTTCCTAATATGATGCCTTTAAATCATATCTAACATGACCATAGGCTATGTTAAAGTAGTAGGCATTGCGACATATTTCTATGACAATATCAAAGTCAAAGAACATCATCAAAATATTTTTTCCTTTTTTAGGACTCACACAGCGATAAAGTATGAATTTATTCACTTGCTTCCCAATTACAGTTTTAAACATATATGGTATAAAACACATGCTATGATGTCACTATTACTTATAAGAGTGTACGTCATTTTTATTTATTATTAATATCATTCAAACTTAAGTTTAGATACTCACCGTACCTAAACATAAATTCTTTTTCTCTATTAATGTCACATGATGTCAATTCAGAAGAATTTGTTGTTTGGCTACAAGTTACATAGATATATGAATCCATGACTTGATCCAAGTATGCTTATGGATCTCATCTCGATTGGTTCTTCCATTGCAGCGATATATGATTTGTGTTTCTTCTCTACCATATTAGTATTTTTTGCTGCCTTACTGGTGAACACAAATGTCTCATCTTTAAACATTAATTTTGAATGTTAAAGGTAGTTGTTCGTGTGTAAGAGCTAACCTTATCAACTTATATAACATAATAAGCATTGTATATTCTCACACACATGTGGAATTAATAAAAATAAATAATTTTCATTAATATAACTAAAATAGTACATCAAGTTTGTCTTTTCACGATCTAGACATGCCAAGGGTAGGGTCTTTACATACTTCTCAAATATCTCCTTTGCTATAGGTTTTGTTAAAGGATTTGCTATCATATGTTTCATATAAATGTATTTTATAGTGATAACTTTTTGTACTGTATAATCCCTTACAAAATTATACTTGATGTTTATATGTTTAGTGTCGATGCGGTATTTAGGATCTTTATTACAATGGATTAATACTGGATTTGTATTTTCATTTTCAAACCCAATATGTAACAAAAATCTCTTTTAACTATATAGCCTCTTTTAAATCATACAATACTCCAAGATCATTTTCATAGCTTTCTAATGTTCCTTACCATTGTTGGATTGATAGCAACTTACAAGTCCTACCACAGAGTAGATGTCTGGTCTTATACACATTATTATGTACATCAAACTTCCAACTACACTAGCATTTAGAACTCTTTCCATTTTCTTTCTAGTTATCTCAGTTTTAGAACCCATGTCGGAATTAAGCTTCACACCTAAAGCTACTAGGGCATCTATTAGTTTACAATTTTTCATATTAAACCACGCAAGAATTTTCCTTGTATGATTCTCTTGTGAAAGAGAAAGGAGCTTCTTAGAGTAATTTCTTTGGATTTAAACTTTACGAATGTATTCTGCTTTACCTTTCTCATTCATTTCAAAATTTAATAAAAGCCATTCTTTAATGGCCATTCTTTTTGGTTTGGTTTGGTTGTAATTAAAGAAAACTGACAAACTGAAGCTTAACAATTTTTTGAACCAAACCAAATTGAAGTTTTGAAAAAAATAAACTGAAACCAAATCAAAATTTAATGGTTCAGTTCAGTTATTAGGCATTTTTGTCAACATATTAGGCTTTTTTTTGTCAACAAATTGGGCTTATCTCTAAAAAAAGAACATTATACTAATTAAGAAATAATTTAAAATACAAAATCTCCATGACTAAAGTGGGGGAAAAATGATCTAGATTGGTCCAATGGACCCTGTAAAATCTTGATTCTTGAAACTCAAACAACTGTAAAATTAACATAACAAATATAAATAGTGAGGAAAACAAAAGGATTCCCAAATACAATAGCGTAGATACTAGACAACATAGAAAAGCATATCAAAATAAAGGAATCAAATATAATACTAGTATTTCTAAAAAAATATTAATAAAAATAAAAATAATCCTTAATAATATAAATAAATTATAATATTTATATATATATATATATATATATAATTTCAGTTAATTTGATCTATTCGGTTATGCAATCCTCAAACTGAACTGAATCATTTAAACTAAAATTTTTCTGGAAAAAAAAAATCAAACTGACCATTTAAATGAAATAAGCTGAATCAAACAAATCAAACTCAATTTCGTTCGGTTTGGTTTTGCTCACCCCTAATTTTAGCCATTAAAAGCTGAAACCTGACACCCTTTTATTATCTCACGTCTAAATCAACTAGGGTTCTGTTTCTTTATTCTATGACCCTCCAGGGTAAATTGTTTTGTGTTTGTTTCTCTAATACATCACTCTCAAACCCTT